ACCCCAGTTACCACTACTGTGCATGTGTGTCAAGGACAGAAAGGTAGATGTGGCGGTGGACGGTGTCAAAGCAGTTTGGAGAGAAAAACAAAGTAAAGAACAACCACAAAAAAAAGAAAACGATTAATCGATTATTAAATTAGTCATCGATTATTTTAATAATCGATTAGTCGTCAATTAATCGATTAATCGTGGCAGCTCTACCCAGGTGTGAGTGAGAGAGTGAAAGGTTGTTTGTCTCTATGAGTCCCTGTGATGGACTTGCGTTCTGTTCAGGATGTACAGAGACTGCTGGATATGGACACCAGTGACCCTGAAAGGATGAAGTGGCTTAAGATAATTGATGGTTAGATAGATGAATGGATGAACCAAAGAACAAACCAAACATGGGTTGACCTTAATAATTAATGGTTTAAGTTTGCAAACTTTGCTAATAACCCTTTTAAACAATTAAAGAAAATACAAACATTCTGAACAACTACGATAATATTTCTTAATAATTTATGATTCCTAGTGTTAACCTTGATGACAATGTTTTGTTAGCAATTTTTTTTACAATGAATTGCAATTTTTGAAGACCCTCACTTGATGGTTTACAATCCACACTGGGGTCCTGACTCCAACCTAGGGAAACATTGGTGCAAAAATTGCTTAAAATGGCTTTTGCACAACAACTTTATAATCTTTTAGATTGAATTGTGCTAAAGCAGAAGCCATCCACTTTTGTCTTCATCACATTTGAACTGTTAGCTCATCAGTCCGGTCAGAATTAAAATGTTTCTCAGAAGTTTGATTGAACTTTTCGATCATTTGTTTTTCATTTTAAAAAGCAGATATCCAAAAAACTGACAGTTATTCTATTTTCATTTAATACAACAAAAAACATAAATATGGACCATCTTTTTATTTTTGTCAAACCAGAACTTAAGCACCATTGTCAAGGCAAATTAACTGTGGAACCTGCTGTTTCTCACCACGGACCTCTTGGAGAAAGGGTTAATGAGCTAAAATCATCAGAAGCACCAGGAAACCATTAAAATCATGAGTGATATACAAATTATTAGCTGACACCTATTAAAAAACGTAAAACTAGTTAGCTAACATTTATTTATTGTGGCTGCCTGGTTAGCTAGTTATAAATTAAAACATGTTTTTTCATCCCATTTTCGGAACATTTAAGGTGGAGCTAGATATAGTAACTAGTTTTAAAAAAATAAATTAACTAAACTAGCTATATTAATAATACAAATACAATCTACAATTAGTTAAATAAATGCAAAAGTTAGTGTTTATTTATTCATAGGCTGTTATTAAAAGTTATTTATAGCCTGCTATTAAAGTTATTTAACTAGCGCCGCCAGAAATGGTCTAATAACGACAGTGTTCAACTTACAGTTTGAGAGGGAAAAAAAAGACAGACCGCGTTCTAGGGTTGGGCAAAATTTGCAAAAAAAAATCACAATTAATTGTTGAATTTAGCCGATAATGATTAATTTGACGATTAATCCCCTGGAGTCCCTGGACACCCTTATGTATTGTCACATGACCAATTTAGTGGGAAATATTTGTTCTTCGTAAAAATCTTTTCCAAACTGAGTCAAAATCACAGACTTCAGACTGTACTTCAGATTTTAAATTGTGTTGATAAATAAATTAGAACTTTTGTTTAAATGTTCATTATATTTGAAGCGGAGAGGAGCACCGAGCGGACTGACGGGGGAAATATCCAGTCAGTCTGCCTGGTAGCATTAATCGTATTAATTGTCAAGTGCCAAAAAATAATCGATTAATGTTTTTCTGACGATTAATTGCACACGACATGATTATGCCCAGCCCTACCGCGTTCTCATTTTTGAAGTATGAAATGAAAATAGAATAATCACCTGTTATTGTGGTTTCAATATATGTTTTTAAAATGAAAAAAGAATGACCAAAAACTACACACCTATCTGCAGCAGGTAAGATGTTATTGGTTTATAACTTTTCCAGCTCTCAAAGACTGAGTTTATCCATCAGGGAAGATCCAGTTATTAAAGCAGCAGGTGTTTTTTTATGTTCTATTTTTTTGGCTGTTTCGTTTTGAACGTTGCACGAAAGATTTGACACAAACTGAGCTTGAACTCTCAGCCTCAGGATCACCTGAACGAGGCACAGACCATCGATAAATCAGAAAATAATAGTAATTTCTACTTTTTCTTGCCTCTCAGAGCAAATCCAGAGGCCAGGACCTTTTTGATCAGATCATGTATCACATCGATCTGGTCGAGACAGATTATTTCGGACTGCAGTTCATGGACACTGATCAAGTTTCGGTGAGTAAACGGGCTTTTCCCTCTTCTCTCCACCAGTGAAGACAACAATCTAATGAAGCTCACCCATCTTATTTCCCTCCTCTCTCTGTTAGCGCTGGCTGGATATGTCCAAGCTCATAAAGAAACAGATTCAAGGTGAGTTCACACGGGGCCTCAGACTGTATCTCATTGTAGGGAACTGTGCTGCAGCAGGTAAAGCGGGGAGCAGGTGGACTATTATCTAATGTTGACACAGTGATTAACGTGTGTTTGGAGCCGAACCCTTGTTTGCTCTCCGGTTTGCAGCAGGAAGACAAAAAAGTGGGGGAAGAATACAGCGGTTCTGTAATGTCTGAAGAGTCTGACTGATGTTTAAAAAAAAGAAAGAAAACAAAAGCAGAGCTGCAGACAAATGGAGATTTTCTGGCCTGGCGATGGTGATGAATGAACTCGATGAAAAAAAAGGCTTTAGTGTGAGGGAGATTAAATGGATGAAATACATTACAAAGAAGCTTTGATTTGATTTAATTAATTTTCCATAAGTTGCTGCTTCATCGCTCTCTGCCTCTTTATCTTGACTCTGCTTCATCCTTTATTCCTCTCAGAGGGCCCGCCTTACCGACTCTTCTTCAGAGTTAAATTCTACTCTTCGGAGCCAAATAACCTGCGTGAGGAATTTACTCGGTAAAAACCACACACACACACACACACACACACACACACACACACACACACACACACACACACACACACAGTATGAGCAAGGAAGCACAAAATGGCACCTGTGTGTAGAGACTGAAGACAGCAGCGGAATGAGAGCAACCATCCAGGAGATGGAGACAACAAAATTATCCACAATCATCAACAGAACCTTAAAAATCTACATCCGTCTAAAAACCACACACACACACACACACACACACACACACACACACACACACACA